AGGTGGCATGTTCCTGCCTCTGGAATAAAGGAGACTTAGTGATGCTGCAAAGCTTTGTAATCAAAGCCTAGCAGTCTAGACCTACCACCCCACATCTAAGGCCGTCCTTACTACCTACCATGATTCTTCCACCTCCAACAAGCTGTTTGGGGCTTAATGACACAAGGTTTCACCAATCATGCTGTTATACTCATTAATTACTGTTCTTGCCTGTCTTCTACCCGACAGTCTCTCCTGCATGCACAACAGTGATTCTTAGAGAATATGGGAAAACCTATCTTGTACCAGATTTATGCCAGCCAGCAGCACTGTCTATCCACCCTACCAAGGTGTCTAATGTGCTACTTCACCTGTGACTAATATATTTTGAGACCAGCCTGGTTTAAAACCACATGGAACTGGTTTGGTTTTTTTGCTGTTGTTTTTTGAGATTTCATGGCTTTTCTGAAGAACTGCAAATAGTTCTTAATAGGAGGGGATAATTAAAATGAGGAATGGCTAGAGGCTGGAAACTGCTAAGCCACAATGTCACACCTGATTACCTTAGAATGAAAGTGATAGGGAGAGCAGAGATGATTCTAGAAAATATATGGAGATTAAATTTAAAAAATAAAATAAAAAACAGGACTTGAGACAGGAGAGGAAAAACAACAGTGGTGCTACAACAGTAACTGGCTGAGAAAATGGTGAACACTTTCATGAAGTAAAGGCAGTAGGAATGTAAACAAGGGGCTGACTCTATAAAATATGAGAAAGAATTGGTAGGACTTGGGAGTCTAATAAAATGAGGGAATACAGACAAGAATGGACCCAGGGTAAAGCCTTTTGCTTTGAGTAATTAGGAGTAGTGCCTATCCTAATGGATGACTCAAGGGAATAAAGCTACAAAGAGGATAAGGTGGGCTCTAGTAGGCATTTGTGGAGCTTGAGGAGTCTGTGAAGAGCAGTGTTCAGTACATGACTGAGTACATGTGCCACAGAGACATTTTAGAGTGATCACATGTGGATAAAGTCACTGAACACAGCTGATGAAATAGAGAAGGAATCTGCAGGTTAATACACTAAGTATAAAGAGAAGGGTTGGAATACCTACCAACATACCAAGGTATATCCAAAGAAAATCAAGAACAGTATGAGAGAAGCCAATGATGAAGAAAATAGAGAGGGAAAGTACTTAATAAATGCTGTGGAGATCAACTAAAACAATGTGTCTGTTCATTTGACAATAGGGAGGTCATTTGTGAATCACTAGGTATTGTCAGCAGAGTGATGTGGGTGGAATTCAGGTAGCCATGAATATAATAGATAGTGAAGTTGGGCTGGAGAGATGGCACAGCCATTAAGAGCACTGCCTGCTCTTGTAGAGAACCTGGGTTTTATTTCCAGCACCTACATGGTGGCTAACAACTGTCTGTAACTCCAGTTTCAGGGGAATCCGACACCCTTAGGTGTCCTCGATGGGCACTGCATGACACCTGTGCACTTACATACATGCAGGCAACATACTCATACACATAAAATAAAAATAATAAATATTAAAAAATAGTGAAGCTTGGAAAATTGGAAATTGTGAAATCCTAGCACACACATTTATGTATGCACATGTGTGCATGTCCTACATATATAGTTTATATTTGTATATATGCATATTATATATATATAATTACATAAAATGTAGATCTGAAGAAGGATCTCACTACCAAAATGTCTCAAGAATGCCCATACCATGTTCTAAGTGGAAAATGCATTCTGGATGATCCCAGGTGCTTAGCACAGTACTTAGAAAATAGTAAGCACAATAGTCATGGCCATTTATAAGGCTGCTTTATATGGAAAGTTAGGAAGAAATATAAAGATAGGTCTGGAACGAGGGACGCCTCTTCCAGTTAGACAGGAGAGAATAGGTATCAGTGCACTTAAGGGAGTATTAACATCACAACCCCATTTTCCTTATCAAAACTTCGTTGTTTGGATCAGAAAAATCACTAAGGACTCAGCAGAATTTAGAAACACAAAACTGCATTAAAATGACAGCCATGTGAAGTTTCAAAGATGTACATACATGAAAGGATTTCTTCAATGAAATTCAATGTGCTGCTTGTATTTCAAGGCCTAAGACTTCTTTATTTATAAAGTATTCTATGTAGAATGTCATTAATTTCTAATATTTTATCCAATAGTTCTTCAATATCCTGGGATAAGGAAGATGAAAGGACACACTGAAAGACTGGAACTTTTGAAGCATTATGGGTTCTATTAAAATGTAATGTGATATTTTCTCGATACACTGGTAGATATCTTAATATAAAATATTTTTATTTACACAGAGTATACATTCCTGGTCTACAAGCAGCAAAATATTTTCTCGATACACTGGTAGATATCTTAATATAAAATATTTTTATTTAAATATCTTATACATTCCTGGTCTACAAGACATGCAGCATTCCTCACTTATCACTAGCACACTGCTAGAAGTTTCTGATTTAGAGTAAATTGTTATTTTTTAGGTCTGAACCAGGTAACAAAAGTTTACTAAAACTGTCTCTCTTCTAATTATTTTAAGTTCAGACTACTGCTTGATTTGTTTTTGTTAATCAACCAAAATAGCTTTTTTGTATAAGATATTTAAAAATACAAAATACCTTGCTGGTTAGTCCACCAAAATTTAAAATTTTGAATCATCTTTGGTCTAAGCAATAATGAATATGCACTTTATAGTGCTGCTCAAAATAATTAAAGCTTCAATTCCATTGTTTGATGTTTTACGTCTATGTATTGTAACTAGTAAGAAGATGCCCTAAATCTGAGATACTTGAAATTTTTCTGCCTTTTCCCTAAATTATGTTAATGAGAATGGTTTTCTGATTTTACAACTTGCCATTGATTACACGGACAAATTCCTTTGTTCCTCGGTCAGAATTAGTAAGTTCCATTTCTGACACAGATGACTCAATCACACTTGAATCATGATGCAAATGGTCTGAACCCACAAAAAGCAGCTTTTGGTGACACCAGCTATTTTCATCCAAACCAGCTGGAGGCAGCTTTTCTGCTACTCTTGACATTCAACTCCAAATGACAGCTGTTTTCTGCTCACCTGTTTAATGAGGATCTTGCAATACTATGCATTTAAACAAAATTATAAAGAAAATCTAACTTATAATTAAGTTATTCCAATTTCTCCTTAGGATTTCTAAACTCATTCATTCACTCAAAAATATTTACTAACTGCCTCCTATTTGCAAGGCACTCTTTGGGGTATTTGTGCACAGAAATGCCAAGATGTGTAAGGCCTCACCTGAAAGAGATGACAGTCTAGTGGTGTCCAACAGCGCCGCTCAGAAGTTTGGCCAGATTCAACTCTTCATGTACTCTTACCTAATCAAATTCTTTAAGCTAAACCATTTTCTTCTGGCACACACAATATTAACTACATCACCTGTAGAAGGATAATATTGTCATTTTGTTTCAAATGAGACTAGGCTCTAAAAGTGAAAGCATGCATATTAAAAAGCAGTACCCTAAACAGTAAGTATATGTAAGCCAACATTTGCGAACAAAACAAAGTCACAAATAGATTCTAGAGAGCTTACAATTCTATCCATGAATGCATTAAATGCATTTTAATTGAGAATGTAAGATTTTTAAAACACAGTACTTTTGAAACACTGATTATAAAAAAATCTACAAAAGAGACTTTCTTGTAGAATTTCCAAAGGGTGAGATGGAAGTCTATGGAAAGCTAAATCTAACCTTCCTAGACAGAAAGTATCTAGACCAAAGCAAACTAAAACTAAATATGATAATAAAAAGGTTATTTATTTATTTTACTTATTTTGAAGGAGATTTTTACTGCATAGTTCAGGCTGATCTTGAATTCATGATTCTCCTGCCTCTATCTCTAGAGTGCCATAATTACCTAAAAAAACAGAAAGGATTTGATGAAATAAAAGCATAATTGAAAAATAATGGGAAAAAAGGAACTTGGCTTCTTAATTTTCTTACATTGGTGTGTATTTTTTTTAAAAGCTGTTTTTAGGGGCTAGTACTTTTGTGATTTTTAGCAAGATACCATGTAAGGACACAAATATGGCAAATTTCTTTGAAAAATATCTCCATGTTATCCCTTTTTAGTATAACAGTAAAGTTTGGCCTACACTAATTTTCTTTCACTCAAAATAACACCTTCACATTATGACATGTAAAATGACAATTACGTACATGTTTACCTCATTATTGATCTATTCTTTTGAATATTTAGGCAATAGTGTACAAATACTTTATCCTTTTATAAAATTTCTTCTCTACACTATGTTTTAAATTTGGCAGCTTTAATTTAGAATTTCTTCCCAAAGAGTCATTTACAGTTTCTTAGGGGGTGGAGGTTGGTAGGAATAGTCACCTAAATGGACAGTCTATAATTCTTTAGTAAGTTGGCACAAGTCACATTTTGTTCCCAAGGACGTTTTTTGGGCATTCTTGCAGTACACATACAAACACACACATAGAGAGAATGCACACACACACACACATACACACACACACACATATGTATATGTATTTGCCTTGTGGCCTTGTGGTTGTAATTGTCTACTATCTTTTGAAGTAACTGTGGTATTGTTTTACAATACTATTTTGTAAACAATGCAGAATATATTCTTACATTTGACTCAGCATAAAAAGATAAACTTTACTTAAAGCTAATTTTCCTACACTTAGCTGAGAAATATTAAAAAGGAATCTTTACTTAGCATTAACTTTTAAGAAGTTATAAACTAAATTTCAGAACATATCTTTTCTAGTACATTATTACTCAACAGAACAATTGTGAAACATTACAGTATTTCATTTGTATATTAATATAAACAATAAAATACTGTATGTTTTCCAAATCAACCTGCCACCAAACACAAACTCTAAAACATGTATTTTGTATAACTTCCACTTTTAATATACTAAAATATTCAGGAACTCTTAATTTCACATTCAATGAAAAATTTATTTTTAATAAAATTTTATTCAAAGCATTAGGAAAACCATATTCAAAACATAGAAATTGTCAGGCTGTAACAATGCTGCATAGATAGTGGTACACAAGTTCCCTGATGCTGTGACTTCTTCCTAAATGAAACCTCCATTTTCAAGTCAACAGCAGAAAATGGCAGAGGTATTCATTACCTCTTCTCTCTGGGGCTGGAAAAATGGTCTCAATGGTGAAAAGTCACATCACTTGAACAAAAATTAGATTAATCTCCCAATTTAATTGTATCTCCTCTTTCCAAGATGAAGATTTAGAATGTAAGGATTATTGGATGAGAAGTGAATTACCTCTTAAGAGATACCCTGATCAGTGCCTGCTTTACTCTGACAAGTACTGAATTAAGGTTTGAAAACTGCAGCCACATCATCATGCTAACCTGAAACTGCCAACATGAACCCATAATACAAGTGCACAAGAAAAATGATCTGTTTCTTAGCCTCTGACCTTCAGTAGGAAAAATGCTACAAATGGGGACTTAAAAAATAATTTTCATGGCACAGTATTAACTCCACAGAGACTAAATCTTTTCTCAATCCTTAGACTGAACTGGTCAATGAGAAACTGCTTAAATGTCTTTTCTGAGGGCTTTTAGAAAAGAAAGGCAATGTATTTGAAAGCATCTGCAGCTAGAAATACTCATTAAGAAAACGTTAAGTTACCCTGAGAAAGACTCTCAAAATTACCAGTTCTTTCAGAATCGCTCACAAATGCCAATGTATGAGGGAAAGATGGGTAGGCTACACCTGCGTATAGTTATCTACGTAACTACGTTTCCATCTCAAATGCACTTTGGGCTTTTCTGCTATACTGGTAACAGGTCACACCAAGACACTTGGATGTTTTGGGGTAAAGGAAACTTTGCTTTCATTGTAAGCCTCTTCCATCCCCAAGAGTTTATACTTCTGCAAATACTCTTGCAGTTGAACCTATCATTCACATAAAAGAATCTTCCATTAAGTAAATTGGTAGTTTTCTTAAAATAGTAAACAAATTTGTCTGGTCTACATTCTCTAAGGTCTGCCTAGAAAATCAGGCGTTAGTAAATCTTTATTGGCCATTGCAGAGCATAGACAATTGTTTTTTTTAACCAGAGACAAATGGAAACATTGCTGAAAGTATGCTGCTATTTTAACATCTCTTATAGATTCACAATCAGCATTTGTGACTCTCTCCACACTTTTAGTACAAAACCATGCTTATTCCCAATACCTTACGCATCCCATAATTACTTAAGAAAAGACAAAGCAAGGGCAGCTACAAAAGCAGCAAGATAGTTTCCACAAATAAAAATACAGCATACAAAAAAACAGCAAGTTAGTGATAAACGGGAACATGAACTTTCAATAACATCCCTTCCTGGTTGTCCAAATTATGATTTGACAAGTTTAAAGCCTTGTCCTGTGTCCAGCACAGTAGGAAGAAACCAACTCATTTTTAATCTCTTCAAGCACCGAAAACAAGTTTTGCAGATCCAAAAAAGGTTCAGACCACATAACCAGTTTGCCAAATGCACTAGTGGGTATGTAACACGAGGAAAGTGTAACATCCAGTGCTTGGCCACATCACTTCCTGTTGGCAAGTGTAGAGTGTAGTCACTCCACCGTTTTGACACGCCATACACGGCTTTCACCGTGCGTCCCTTTTCGGTCCAGCAGATGCTGTGACTGGAGTTGCAGTTGTACTCTACCCAGTCTCTTGTGAAGTCACCCAGCTGAGGTGGGTCAGCTTCCTCAATATCTACTGTCTTTGCCAGCTCTGCTCCCTGAACTGCAATATACTGGTCATTAATCTTTCTCACTTCCTTCACCCAAGGGGTTGAATTCTCACTGTCTAATACGATAATAAGCCGGGAACAGAAGGAACCATTCTTTTCTCTCCACCATTCTAAAAGCGTATCAAGGCGTAGTATGTCTCCACCTGTGGACAAGAAAAAATTCAATACAGTGATAATTTCCAAAGTCTCTCATTCAAATATGCAAACAACAACAAAGAGAAGACGGTGAAGGATACATTCAGAGTGTCTTTTCAAAAGGTATTTTTAAAACCAGACTTTCAGTTTTACGTTAAAAAAAATCACCCATATATAAGTTATATTAAATATGCTATAACAATGAAGAAAATTTACATACATACATACATATATGTGTGTGTGTGTGTGTGTGTGTGTATGTATGTATGTGTGTGACTCTTGTTTTACAACAGGGTTATGCCCAGACAAAGTCATTTTAAGTTGAAAATATTGTAAGCTGAAAATGTATTTAATATACCTCACCTACCAAATATCATAGCCCACCAACCCAATACAGTACACAGTAAACTTGCACACTAGCTGTCTACCTTTCTGGTTCTGGCTGGCTGGGATCTGCAGCCAGCTGACACTGCCCAGCATCCCAAGACTATTTCACTGGGCATTACTAACTTACTTGACTGCATCTAACTTCTGCACCACTGTAAAGCTGAAAAATCATTAAGTTTAACTGATGTAAGTTAGAGACAGTCTGCAAAAAAATTTAGTAAAAGAAAATTTAAATCACACACACACACAAAAGCAAGTGTTCTACTATTCTATACAGGGTAGCAACTGAGAGTTTGTTGGTCAAATACAACCTGGAGTTCATGATCTGAGAGCAAAGAGCTCATGTACATTTTCACATAGCCGGAAAAAAAAAATTGTGAAACATTAAAATTTTAAATTCAAATTTCATAATTTTTTTCCACAAGTAATGCTTTATTAGAACAAAACCAAACTTTTCCCGCTGTGTACTGTCTCCGGCTGCTTTCATAGATGGTTACAATGTAACAAGGGTCCTACAGCTCAAAATGTAAAAGGTTCAAAATACCTAACCCTATACAGAAATATTTTGCTACATGAATGAGAGGGGAAAAAAAATGCTTCCGAGGGGACTACTAAAGGAAAACAAAAACACAACCTCCTTTCCCACACCCCCAGAATATCTACAACATTCTTCCTGTATTTATATTTAGATCAGTACTATACCTGAAAACCCTCAAAGGATTGGAGGAAAAAAAAATAGAAAGGTCTAAAGCAAACATATTTCTAACCTAGAAAGCTGTCTTAGAACTGATAATGCTAATATCTGGCTCACTGTGGACTTTTTTGGCATTGATTTTTAAGAATACAGAATTAAGATAGTATTTGTTTTTATGACTAAGGTTTTTTTCTCATTTAGAGAAGACTTGATTAGTTTCTATGATTTCATCTATACATATACATCTACACATAAAAACCTTATATATGCCTAGTGTGGTGGCGCATGTCTTTAATCCCAGCACTGGAGAGATCAAGGCCAGCCTGGTCTACATAGTGAGTTTTAGGCCAGCTGGGGCTACAGGGAGACCCTATCTCAAAAAACACCAAAAACAAACAAACAAACAAACAAACAAACCAAAATACCTTACATATTCAATACAAGCCATTACTCTCATACAAGCAAGAAAAAAAAAAAGCAACCCCAAGTATAACAATTCTAAACTATTATGATTGTTAATTTCTATACAATGTCAACTCAACATAGTAAGCTGGCCCTATACAGAAATAGTCTGTTAAGTCCTGTTGTGCATCACTGAAAAAAAAAAATCAACATTTTTTTTCTGACAGAGCCAGCAGTGCCATTTTTAATCATTGTATTTTTGTGATTTCAGAAATATTATTACTATCTTTATACATCCTTTGATTTTAATAATTTCACCTACAGTAATGTCAATTTTATGAAGAAAAATTTGTTTTATGAAAAATTTGTTCTAATTATATTTAACTTAACAGTATAGTTTGTTAATGTGGAGAGTTCATGTATTGCATATACAAATATAATAAAACCTTATTTACTCTTATTTTCATAATAAGGAATTATAACTTAAATATGGATTAAATGGAAGCTAATCTTCACATTACTTCCTTTAGCAGAAAAATTTGTAGTATAGAGATGTTTGAAAAAAATTTTTTTAATATTATTTTAAATTTTTTTAGAAGAAGCATATCATTACAGGTTTAACATGCCCAATAACAGTTTCCAGAGCAAAGACACAGCTCCTTCAAAAGTGGCTATAAAATGTCTAGGTTCACTGTTGAATCAATACAGTTATACAATATTGAACTCAGTATAAGCATTCTAAGACATAAAATTGAATGAGTTTTTAAGCCTCAAAAAAGATCTTCATTTCATTCTGAAATATACTGTTTCTTACAGAAAGACTCATTGTTTTTGCTATTAACAGTGAGATATTGGCACATGCGTCTCTAATCTGTATGTATCTAATTATTACTAGTCATAATCATTGGCACTCAGATCCTTGGCGCCTGTGTACATCAAGGAAGCTTTGTCAAACAGTCACCCACTTACTTACACTGCTGTTAAGTAAAGACTAGTTGCTATCCTATGACCTAGTAGAACCCTTATTGAGTTATGAGTTAGTTGGAGACTATTAAATTTTTTAACCTTTATTTTAGAATCTGTAAGTAGGTCTATTGATTAATACTATATTGCAATTCACATAAAATAAAATTTTTAAGTCTTGAGTACTCTGTTGAGAACTCTGTTAGTAATGTGGCTTCAGAAGTGAGGCTGTCTCACATTATTTATATGCAGTTAATTTATCAGCACTTGTATGAGAAGTTCAAAAAATGTAGAGCGTGTTTTAAGCTGGACACCCACACACACTGTTTGAAGCACTATTTCAATACATGGTCTTCATGTACTCCAGAAGAGGTCCCTCCAGAAGAGGTCAACTTTCCATGATTTCTAGATCTATTAAATTTCTCTAGACAGAGGATGGCATAGACTATAAGCTGTGACACAAATTCCACCTCCACAGCGCATCACTGCTGAGCCCTACTATGTCACTATTCTCCAGCACATTTTACTCCTCTTCTCCTTCCACATCAACAGAGACTTACAGCAGCAATACCGCCTTTTAAATGATTTCTCTTCCTTATTTAGTTTAGCTCTGCTTTCTTATAGGTTCAGAGATATACTTGGCTTTTGGCCCAGATGTAGAGTATTTAACATTCATCTTTGATAACAGTCATCTGATGCATTTCAAATAACTGAGACCACTTTTAAAGGCTCTGTTTATCTGTGATAAACTGCTTTGTAAAGCATCTACATTTTTTATTTCTTCCTGTCTCTCTTATAATTGTCACAACTGCTTTTTACCCTAAAGCAAAGAGGAAAAAATATCAGGTTAAATATGAAAACTTGCTAAATGTAAGAAGACTACATGACCTAAGAATCAGTGTGTGTTAAGGCAGGGGAAAAAAGGAAACTGAGATTTTCTTTCCCAAAGTAACATTTAATTCTGGACTTAATATTAATTTGTTAATCCAAGTAAAATCCAGTCCTGATGGCTCATATTTCCCAAATGCTAGAAAGATAATTATTAATGAATCACTGGAGCTTAAACTTCATCACTTGATATGGGGAAGAAATTTGAACATTTTCCCTAGAGCAGGTTTGTTCAACTCAATTTCAAGGCAGAATCTGTGTTGGAGGGCTTATGGAGGTAGGCCTGGGAACACTGATTGGGAAGAGTACTTGCAGCCCTGGCTCAACCTGAGCTGATGCAGGTGCCTCAGCCAGCATGGCAATAGGTATCACTGAATTACAGGATAAGGGAGGGCAGTGTCAAGATACGCTTTGTCCATTGGAATTTTCTTTTCTACTTTTTGAAGTAAACTCCCTAACAGTTATACAACCACAAATCTTGTTAACTAACAGAGGAATTCCATAATGGCCAATGTATTGGTAGTATATTTCAAAAACTATAAAAATACTATTCTAGAATGTCATAGCTAGATATTTATCAAAATTATAACTCTATTTTAAAATTAAATCTTGAAGTTACATCTCTTCTGTCTTGCTTTCATAGTACTAAAAGATGCTATGCATCTTACTGGTAGAGAAAGGTAATCATCAACCTTACCCAGCTGTGAACCCTGCAAGCTACAATAACACCTGGCTGAGCAAAACATACCCAATGGGACACTAGTATGACTACTATGGGAGTAACCAATCATCTTCTAATTGAATTGTAAGGCCCACTTCACAAGATAAGAGTTCATACATGACACTATATCTAGGCCAACAACCTATGGCTAGACAGGTTACAGACGACAGAGGAGAACTTACTACTATCATTCTGATAAACAGACATAGTATGAAGCTGACTCCTAATGACTTCTCTTTATACTCATAGATTAGTGCATGTCTAAACTCTCAACAGAAAAGCTTCTTCTTGCAGCATATTAGCACAGATTCAAAGGTGATCAACATGTAGAGAATAAAAGACTGTAGAGTGTACAGCCCTAAGTGAGACCACTATATCTCAACCTATCCTCCCAAGGCTCAGGGATCACTGCAGAAGAGGAGGCAGGAAAATTTTAAGAGCCAGAGGTGGCAGAGGAATACTAGGGAACCATATTTTATGAATACCATGGGATAGTTAGGCATATATATGAACCCACAATGCTTTTGACAGCATACATAAGAGTTGTGTAAACTCAAGCCAGACTAAAACCCAGCAGGGATGAGGGAGGTAGGAGGCTGCAGCCCTAGCTGAGGATTTATTGGCAATTGATAGCTGCTGGGAGAGGGCGAGTCAGTTTTCCTTACTGACGTGATGCCTGGTAGGCTGACCAGACTCCAAGGGATAGACCCACGCCCAAGGGCACTTGAGAAACACAAATTAGACACGATAGGTCTTTAAACATAAAAGAGAAATGATAAGAGGACACGAAGTGGGGGGCGGGGAGTAAAGAAAGGAGAGGGGAGAGGGGGTCTGAATATGATTAAAATACATTGTATGATTCTCAAATCAATAAAAATATTTTAAAATAAATTTTCATAAATTATTCCTAACTCTTCATAAAACATGAACATCACATTTATGTATTATCTATTATGATGGCTTTTATTTTTCCCAGAAATACTAATAAATTGAATGTTTAAAAATCTATTTTTTAAAGTGCTTGAAATAAATTTTAAAATACTGAAGAAAACGAAAGTTTTCTGAAAGACATTTATATTTGGTATAAATCCTTCATGTAAATACAAACAAAAAGAGTTTATAAACCATGTTCAAGGAGTTTGTGTTGAATTCCTTCTTGTGCATCTTACTGTTTTGAAAGTGGATAATCCATGATAACAAACTCTTTTACAGAGCATGACACTTTATCATCATGGTGCCTGCTGTTGGTGGCAACGTGGAACACTGTGGGAAAGATAGATGTCAGGAGCCAGCAGACCTGGGCTTGACCACAGCCAGGTAAGTAATGCAACTGCCCTCGGCAGCCATTTAATCCTTTGGAACATGAGCTATAACAGTGGTATCTCGAGGATTTCATATGAAGATGAAATCTAATCTTATTCGCCAAATATAATAGCTAATTCTTTGTATGTGTCTGTTTGCCTTTACTCCTTCTAGACAACATTACAAGTTTTAATATTTATTTCCAAAAGGTAATTTTTCAAAACCCTTTTTATTTATTATAAAACCTCAGTCACATGTCTGGCACAAAATTAGTGAGATCACACTGGCTTAAAACCATCTGTCCTTCAACTTTGAGACTGCTGCTTCCAGAGTTCTCCTATTGGCAGCTCTGTCTCTGTCCTTCATAGTTTCTTTGACCTCAATATGTTATAACAGACTTCTCATCATGTAAAAAATTCCTGACGGAAACAATGTACTGAAGAAAAGATGTATTTGGCTCATGATTTCAGAGGTTGCAGTGGATCACAGAGGGAGGGGAAGGCACAGCAGGGCAGATCAGCTCACATCTGAAGCCTGGAAGCAAAGAAGGAATACCTGGGCTAGGTGGCTTTCTCCTTTTTTCCCTTTTTAATTTCACTCAGCCCTCCAGCCTATCAGATTGCAGCACCCACATTCTGGGAGGCTCACCCTTTCAGAGATAATCTACTCTAGAAATGCCATCAGACATACCCAGAGGCATGCTTTAGTAATCTCTTAGGTATTTCCAAATCTAAACAACTGACAATGAAACTAAATATCACAATGCTTCCACTTATATTTTATGACTATTATTTTTAATTTAAAACTAAACAGGATATAATTAAACACAAATGAATTATTTCCACTCTAAAATAAGAAAATTATCTTTTTTTCACAATGTATTCAATGACTTCACTTATCTATGCATCACTAAGAATCCCACTACTATGTTCCAGGCTATATCCTAGGTTCTAAGCATATAGTAATCTACAAAACAAAACCCATTACTAATGACGTCTTAATGTAGTTAGGAAGACAGACAAATTTATGTTATATAGAGAGATCTCACTTCTCACTTGGCAGTGACTTCTAACAAAAAGTGTTTTCTTTTTCCCATATGTAAGTAAACCAAAGTTATTTTATGTTATTTCCAACAGTCTTAAAAAAATACATAAAAAAATCCAAAACAACCCTACAGAATATTATGGCTTACAAGGAAACAATGATCACTCCCTACCATCCCTCATTTTACAGATGAAGCCAATAGGAACACTTGACCTAAAGGAACACTGTTGTGACAAATAGGACAGAGCAAGAACTTCTGATCACACACTGCTCCCACTACATCACAATGCCTGATGTTCAAAACTGTGTGAGCTTTCTAACACTGCACATGTGAAGACGCACAAATGAATTCTGTATTCCCTGCATTTAAAGTCCAAGAAGCAACTGGTCAAAGCAGTTTATCAGCTTCTAAATAATATTACTATCTGCAATAATTTAAAAATATTTTAAAAGGAGACTGACTGTAAGTCTCAAATCAAACAAACTTTTCCTCGCAAATACTTAAGAAATAGTTCTCAAAACCTTGCTATCACTTACTAAAATTAAATAGGTATGCTGGAGGTTACATAATCAAGTAACCTTGGTAAACTGTGAAGTAGGAAATTGAGAACTTCAATGTCTCAGTATGAAGACTCCATGAACACATGCAGTTCACAACAGTGACACTGACAAAGGTGAGTTACCTGCTAGCGCCCACTCTCCCGAGCCATGAGTGTGTCCACTGTAATACAAAACATATGTATCATGTCTTGGTCCATCGACAGTCCGAAGTTCTAGGAAAGTTTTCAGTTTGGAATGTAGAGCATCAAAAGATAGTCCACTTGTGGAATAGTCACATCCATAGGTCTCAATCATATGATATGCAAAAAATCTTTGGATAGCATTGAGCATGCCTGTAGACCTCAAATTTAACTCCTGTACATGTTCTGGTGGAAGCAGTGTTGGTTGACCATCAGGACTGCAAAGGGGGAAAAATTATTTTGGTTTTGAGGAAGCATTATTCTAGGTTACATTCTCATCTATACTTGATTATCTAAGAATCACAATAGTTTTCATGCTAACTAAAGGTCAAGATTTTAAAGTCATCACTTGTACAACTCTAGCATGTTAACAGTTATTCTTGGAAAAATCAAAAGCTGGTTTCTAAAACTCATATTTCTTATCAATGAAACAACAGACTAAAAGCTGGGACAGTATCTCACAAGCTGGACTGTACTATTCTTTCTTCCTTATACTTGTTTTCTTACCAAGTAACAGATACTGAATAAGAATTTTTTAAAAGCAAGATTGTACTAAATGTTTCAAGAACACCTGAGTAGGAACTAAAGGAAAGAACATTTTATTCTTGAGAAAAAAAGAATCGCACATAAAACATGGAAGTGATACTATCACTATATATTTAATTTCTATACTGAAAAATAGGATCATTGTAATGTTGTATTCAAAATTTTTAGATTTCTGGTTAAAATATTAGCCAAAAGGATATTATCACTCAGAATAAAGTTTTCTACATACAATGTTGAAATGCGAGCATACTATACCTTGAAAATGAAGTGGCAAAAAATAAGGTCATGTTTTATATTCATAATTATTAATGACTATAATGGAGACAATACCTGCAAAAGTTGGTGGGTATTACAATAGCATATCCGACAGAAGTGCCTCCTAAGCAGTTCCCCAGCTCACGGAAGAGCCCATGAGCCATGGACTCCAATGGCAAAATGATCAGAAACATGCTCAAGAAGATTCCGTTTGTTGGCTAAAAGAAATTCAAAACATTTATATAGCATGCAGGGATGCAGATATTTACATACAAGTATATTGATTCACAGTTTTCACCCCTACTTGCAAGATGGATGAAAAAACAATAAAGAATCTAAAAACAAGCGTAAGAAGCAGACGTGAGATATGGATGAACTGACCAGTCCAATGAACCTTAAATTTATACTGAAGTTTTTTAGACATTGTGGCAAAACATCATATCAACTCTTTGATATGAAAGAGTAAAAAAGCAAAAACCATTCTCCATGCTCAGTCAACATTTGCATCATTTTCCCAAATACATGTGTATTAATTATCAAGATTCTCTTTCCCCATCTCTGTTTAAAGTCCGGAAACCATGAGAATAAAACCTTAAGAGAATTCAAGACCTTAAGGCTATACAAATGAATTCCATTCTTATATAATAATTTATCTTTAAAAATCCACAAACTCAATTTGCCTAAATTACAGATTTCAACAACAATAAAATATAAAGGACATTTAAATATCTTAAAAGTATCAGGAAAATTGGGAGACAGAAAAACTTTAAAGAAGGCAAGACTAAATATTAACTGAAATTAAGAACAGAAAAAGTTAAAGGATCCATTTAAATGGAAAGAAAATGTAAAAATGAGTCATCCCTCCCCATATCTTTAGAGTACAGTACAGTTCTCGATTCTTTTCATATTGTTGCTAAGCAAATGATACGCCTATATTTGTGAACAAACTTTCAACACTAAGGAGTGGTTTATCTGATCAAAAGTACTGAATCTGCTGCTTCAATAAAAAGACAGATATACTGTATGATTTCAGTACATTGTATTTTATCAATTATATAATTATATTTGTTATATTAAGTTATACCTATTTAGCATAAAGTATTGATTTATAAATATTGGAAACTATGAAAAATGATATATGATTAAAATTGCTTTCAAGTACAGTCTTTTGTGAATTTTCCACCATTTATTATATATACACATATATAAACATAATCATAATATATCTACATCCATGTGTGTATATTTTTCATCAAAAATGGATAATATATTTCTGTGAGCTTTTAAATATAAGTCCACTAACATAATTATAAATCATCTGTAAAGACTGAATGGCATTCTCTATTATTCATCTTTGGATTGCTTGTATTTTGCCTTTTTATAAACAAACATGATACCAATTCTCCAATTGTTACTGAGGTTAAAAAGTTCTTATAGGGGCTGGAGAGATGGCTCAGTGGTTAAGAGCACTGGCTGCTCTTGCAGAGGACCCGGGTTCGATTCCCAGCACCCATATGGAGGCTACAAACCATCCTTAACTCCAGTTCCAGGGGAATCCGAAGCCCTCTTCTGACCTCCACGGCATTGCATGACACAGGTACACTCACATACATGCTCATACACATACACATGATAAAAAATGTTTTATCATATGGGCTTCATTAGCGAAGTGTTAAATATTTTACCAGCTCTTCTAGAGTTGTCCTTGCTTTCTTCTAAAACACACTTTAGATAAAAGTCTTTTGTTCATTTTATTAAAAATATTCACCTTTATGACTCGTTAATTATATTATTACTATATTATTATTATTGCTTAGCACAAGTTAATAGTGTTGCCCTTCTTGGTTTGCATCTTGTTCAAGAATCTTCCTTGAGCCTGAGAGATGGCTCAGTGGATAAAGACTCCTGCCACCAAGACTGATCATCAGAGTTCAGTCCCAGAGACACATATGGTGGAAGGAGAGAACCAAGTTTTGCAAGTTGTCCTCTGACCTTCACATGCTCTGTGGCCTGTGTGTGTACACACACACACACACACACACACACACACACACATACACACACAATAAATGTAATTAAAGAATTATTTTTTAAGCCTCCCTCTAGCAACATTAAAATATTTTACATTATCTTTGAAAGGCTTTGTTTTGTCCTCTACATTTTAGGTTTATAATACAAATGTCATTGATTTTTTGATAATGGTTCAAGTTCACTTTTTTCTGTATGAACATCTAATTATATAATCACCCATTACTGAAAATATAAAGATTCTACATCACTCCAAAAAGGCCGTCTTTGTTATAAATCAGTATCTATTGATGCTTTTAAACTCTACCTTTTTTCTATTCAATCTGGATCCTCTTGTCTATTCGTTTTTTAATTTTATGCATATGAGCGCCTGCAGATATCAGAAGAGGGCATTGGCTCCCTTGGGGTGAGAGATGGTTGTTAGGTGCTGGGACCAAAGCTAGGCCCTCTACAAGAGCAGCCAATGCTTTTAGCTGCTGAGCCATCTATCTCTCTGGCCCCTCTAGTCAGTGATTTTTTTTATTACTATTATTTAAAAAAATGGTATGTGTATAGGCATTTTGCCTGTATGTATCTAAATGCACCAATGCCGTGTAAGGCCCGTGGAGTTCAGAAAAAGGTGTCAAATTCCCTGGAACTGGAGTTACTGACTGTTGTTAACTACTATCTATGTGCTAGGAACCAAACCTGGGTAGTCTACATGAGCAGCCAGTGCTCTTAACCGCTGAGCCATTTCTCTAGCCCATCTATTCTTTTTCTATTTGTCTTTCCTTCAAATACTGCTTTTGCTGTCATTTCCTCTGCCCCACATCTTCTCTAATCAACCACAGATGAGCTCTCCTCCCTATATCTTCTTTGAATTCCACCCTTTTCTTCTATTCACTATTTCCTGTTTAATAATTACAATGTTTTAAGATATTTTGCTGTAGTTAGCTCTGCTGCATCTTGCTTTTCTGCTGTATCTTGCTGTTAGTGCATGTACATATCTGTGTGCAAATTCTTGTTCTTATGAGTTATGAGCTGTGTATGCACAAAACCAAAATCAATGGATATTCATTTCAGGCTTGGAATGGTACCTTCTACAGAGGATTTGCTGTTGCTGTTGTTGTTTCTTCCAGAGATCTTGGGCATTACTAGTCTATATATCTTAATGACCACTTAATCCAGGGTGGAGACTATTAACAGGACATAGGCTGGGATGCAAATTCTCAAGACTGTAATATATAATGGCTTTACATTTTATTTCAATGTCTCATTTAAAACTGCACGCAATTTGCCTAAAATCTGCTCTGGGATCCTGGGCTTCCATTTTTGCCTTTTGAAGGGATGAGAAGTGTGCCTCAGTTTTGGAAAATGTTTCTTCTATACTAACAAATGTGTATAGGGCACAGCATTGATCTCCTGGTTCCAGAATACATGGCATACTTTCCTATTTATTATAATATTCTTTTATAACCTTCAATGGAGTTGTACAGCATTTCTTCACAAACATTTTTAAATGCATTTTTGTTATTCTTATGAATAGAATTATTTCCTAGCCTATTAGTGAGTTGGAGGCTATTAATTCATATACACTTACTTTCATTTGCCAGCTTAATGGTGTCCAAAATATTTTCAGCATAAA